TATATATATATATATATATATATATATATAATAATAATAAATTTATGGAAAAAATAAAAAATTAATAATAAAAGGGTTTGTTCCCCCCTCTCAATCTTCATTCATTTCCCAAAATTCCCTCACAACAGAGATTAGACAGGGTCAAGTAAATCCCTTACAATGACAAGTCATAGACAAAAAGAGGCAAGCTTCGTACATGTTAAAAAAAGCCGAAGCATTTAAGAAAAAATAGCAGAAAAAAGCAAGCTTCAAATATGAAAAAGTTAAAGCTAAACAAAAAGGAAATTCAAAAAAAAAAAGAAACCTACCACAAGCAAGCGCCTGGAGAGGCATCACAATACTCAAGTGGTAGGGGAAACATTGGAATACCTGCCAGCCATCCACTTCTCTGCCCACCAACATAGGGACACATCAAACATCTCCTACCCATTCACTTGGGGGCAGCCTTTCATCCCACAACACCAACAAGAAGACATCAAGTACAAGCACGGAAAGGGTTGCTAGATCTCGAAAACTAGTACAAGATCAACAAAAAAAGAGGGTTACCTGACCTTAGTCTAGGCCGGCTGAAGCCTGAAAATATCAGTCCAGCTTGGAGAGGCTAAGCTACGAAACTACTTCAACAAAAAAAGAGGGTTACCTGACCTTAGAGTAGGCTGCCTGAAGCCTTAAAATATCAGTCCAGCTTGGAGAGGCTGAGCTACAAAACTACATCAGCAAAAAAGAGGGTTACCTAACCTTAGAGTGGGCCAGCTAAAGCCTTAAAATATCAGTCCAACTTGGAGAGGCTGAGCTACGAAACTACTACAACAAAAAAGAGGGTTACCTGACCTTAGAGGAGGTCGGCTGAAGCCTTAAAATATCAGTCCAACTTGAAAAGGCTGAGCTACGAAACTACTTCAACAACAAAGAGGGTTAACTGACCTTAGAGGAGGCCGGCTGAAGCCTTAAAATATCAGTCCATCTTGGAGAGGCTAAGCTACGAAACTACTTCAACAACAAAGAGGGTTATCTAACCTTAGAGTGGGCCGATTGAAGCCTTAAAATATCAGTCCAGCTTGGAGAGGCTGAGCTACAAAACTACTTCAACAAACAAAGAGGGTTTATCTGACCTTAAAGTGGGCCGGCTGAAGCCCTAAATATCAGTCCAGCCTGGAGAGGTTGAGCTAAGAATATACTCCTTCTTTAACAAGCTACAAATAAAGAAACACACTACCATGAAACAACGCAGAAGCACCAAAGAGATAAAGAGAAGACCCGGACGAAATGTCTACATCTTTACTTGCCTTTGGAAAAGCAACACATTACTATTCCAAAGGACAAGTAAAGAGGGGCAGCTGTAGACACCCAATTTCGTCCGGGGGAATACAAATAAGGAAATGGACCGCTGTTATGAAGGGAAGGAGCTCCCGAGGCATGCAAACAATAGGACAGGACATTAGAAGGCCCAAAAGCCCAAACAAGTTGGCTTTAGTAACTTGGAACGGACTGTTGCAAAATCGGAACGGGTCCTTCCCAATTTGGAACGGACCGTTCCAAGTTCCTAAAAATTGCCTAAAACCCTAGTTTGGAACGGGTTGTTCCTAAATTGGAATGGGTCGT